TCCATTTTTTCTGATTTTATTAGGATCTGTTTTACTCAAATTATTAAGTAATTTTTACATGAAAAGAAGCATTTTAGGAGAAAAGCCCTATTTGACTACACTCCGTTGTCTTTTTAACCAATTTACTTCTTTAGATTTTTCTAGTTGCCCTAGTTTAGACTATTTTGTTTGCTCTTCTGACCGGTTAACATCTGTTGATTTTTTAGCTGAATTGCCTCATCCTGAAAAATTTGAAAGATTAGATGTTAGAGGAAAAAATGTTCAGGACAAACTTCGACCATTCAATTACAATTTAGAAGCCTGGCAACTTGCTCATCCTCATAAAATATACAAAGTAAGACCTGAACTATTTCATAATTCCGAAACCAAAGCTAAATGAACAGCTGCTTTAAGAGATAAAATTAATAAAACTCAAGAAAAATTACAAACTACAAAAGAAAAAGAACTTGAAGCAAATAAAAAGATTAAAAGACTAGAAATGAAATTAGACAATTTAAAACTAATTCAAGAAAATATCAGCAATCATTCTTTAATTGAAAATCTAACCGATAAAGAGAAAAGAAACAAGATAGACAAAGAAACTCAGACTGACTTAAAAGGAGAATGAATAGAACAAACCGAACAAGTTATCGAGTAGTTAGCACAAATTCAATTACCTAGCAAGAATTATTAAAACAATTTATCAGCAAAAATAAGCAACTTTCTCAATAAAAATCAAACCAACCAGAATAAATAAGCAGCAGGCAAAATATCACACTAACTTAAAGCACTAATCACCACAAAAGCAAAAAACTAGGAAAGAAAAGCACAAACAAAAAAAGAATATATGAATAACCCTTTTAATTTTTCTTTTCTTTGCCTTCGTTGTCAGAAAACTGTTACGGCTCAAGATTTTGCTGAAAATGATTTTGTTATCGCTCACCTGCAATCTTATTTTCAAAGTCAAGAAAATGCTTATAAAGCCCGCTTACTGCAAGAACTAACTACGCAACCAACTAATTTTCCTCCTTATCAAATGCTTTTAGCCGAAAAAGAAAAATTACAACTAATAGTAGAAGGCTACAGATTAGGCACCACCAAAACTAGTAAAGTAAAAGGAGAAGAACTAGAAAAATACATCCTCGAACAACTGCAAATCACTTATAACGGAGCAGACGATATTAACCGAATTACTCACATAGGAACCAAAGCCGACATTAGCCAATTAATTCACAATAACAACCACCAAGAAGTCGGCAAAATTATCTATGAAATTAAAAACGAAGACAAATGAGACCCTAAATGATTAGATAAATTAGAAAAAGACATGGTTCAAGACAAAGCGGACTTTGGCATCTTAGTAGCTACTTGTCGACGAGGTAATCCGATCTGAAAACCTACTCCCCAACAGAGTATTTTAGTTAGTGATGATGAAAACTTTATTTTTGCTAGCCAAATGGCTCGGTTACTAATTTTTAGCAAATTAAGAATTAAGACTAATGAAAGTCCGGCAGAACGAATAAAAAAATGAGAGGAATGAATGAAAGAAAAGTTACCGGCTTACTTGCTAAAATTAGAGAAGAATTTTAGTGAATGAGAGAAGGACATCGGGCGAATAAACACTAGTGTTAAAAGCATGGAAAAAGTCAGAGAAGAAATGCGAAAAATGATGATCGACCAACTAGAAATAGAACTAAAATCTATTTAGAACTCGGCAAAAATGCTTCTTTTCATGTAAAAATTACTTAATAATTTGAGTAAAACAGATCCTAATAAAATCAGAAAAAATGGAACAGTCTTAGCAAAAGTTCCGGAATTTTATAAAGTTCAATTGGATAATGGAATTGAAATTTTAGCCACTGTAGCGGCTAGGTTTCGGGTACCTCGAACAAAAGGAAAGGGAACCATGAAACCTCGCATTTATGAAACTGATAAAGTAGTTGTAGAAATTCCCTTAGCCCAGACTAAAATAGAAAGAGGAACAATTGTAGGATTTAGCAAAAGTTAAACATTGTATACAGCAAATATGAAAAATTACGAAAGGATAACACGACAATACGATAGCCAATGCACTCAACAACATAAACATCGAATAACAGTCAGTTTTACAATAAAAGGCGAAACTTTTACCATCGATAAAGAACATCCAGCAACTCAGGAAGAACGGGAGGCAGCGGAAGAAAGAATAACTGAATGCCTAACTCAGAAAGATTGTACGTTTTGTAGCCAAAAAGTAAAAAGAGAAGAATTAGCCGGATTTGAACATGACTATAACAATTCAGACGGAATTGAAGCACCGATTTGTAGCACTTGTTGAAAAGAACACCAAATTACTGTCGAAGTTAATGAACATTCTTATGGAAGTCTAAAAGATTATTTAAGCATAGAGGGGCTAATTGGCAATGAAGAAAACGAAAATTGCTTGGCATTACCTAATTATCCTAAATCAGGAAAAGAAAAAGATCCACTTTTAATGAATTTGACCAGCAGCAAATTGCTAAATTTAAAGAGGAAGTGAATACTGAAATTCTAATTCAAAAGCATAAATCATATGGCAATTTAACTGATCAACAAAAATTCTTTATTTTAGAGTATTTATGCTATGAACGGGATAATTATGATCGGTCTGGCCAAACTTGAGCCGAATTTCAGACTGTAATTGAAATTTTAAGAAATATTTATCGAAATAAAGCGAGGAATAATGGAAAAAATCAAGGAATAGAAGAAGAAATGAAAGAAACATTAACCAAGAAAAATTGTTATTTTTGTAAAGAAAAAGTAAACGAAGCAAATTTAGCAGGATTCGAACATGAAAAAGATCAAATTTTAATATTGGGAAATCCAATTTGTCTAACTTGTTGGAATAAAAAAGCCAGTTTAAGAGAATGAGATAATAATGAAAACTTTTCTTCAATTGATGTGATAAAGAAAGCCAACGAAGCTCTCGAGGAACAAATAAAGAAAAATTAAAAGATTATAGTATCGAAGAAGCAAAATCACTAAATATGAACAGTTTTACAAAGCAAAAAACTAACTCTGGTAGGTTAACTAGCAAAAGTAAAAAAACAAGCCAAAATAAGCAAGAAATATCAAATGAGAGCCTAGAAAATCAATCTCCTCCAACTAAAAAGAAAAGAAGTTACGAGAAACCATGCCAACTATTAGGCAGCATTAATTCTGTGCAACGAAAAGAAGTAACTCGAAAAGGACAAAACCATGGCAGAACTTATTTTGAAATAAACGTTAAAGACAAAATCGAAAATATAGAGATCCAACCAAACAAAGAAATTAATGTAATTTACGTCTTCCAAGACACTATCCGTAAAGAAAAAATTTGAAAAGATTTAGAGACTCACCAATGAGTAGACAAAAGATACTTATTTTTTTGTTTATATCATACTAAAAAGAGACTTTATCGACTCTACGATTGAGCAGAAGTTCCGCCTAAATCAAGCAGTTAAAAAAAAGAGGGTTAATTTTTTCTGCTTGCCAAAAATTCTCCTTAGTGAATTTTACCATCGCTATCTTTCCAGCCAACCGAACCATCACTATAACAATCACAACAGCCAAATTGGCAACCTCTACTTTTACAACCTAAACAACCACAGCAAAAATCATTATGGCTGTCGGCGAATAATTGACAATAACAACCCTCGCATTCTTTCATTTCCTGTCCAGTATTTTCATCAATAATAGGAGGATTTTTGGCTAATCATTCCCGATAGGCTTGTCTTTTGCTATCTAACTCTTTATTCATGTTAAGTACTTTCCCTTTCGCTTTCATTATCTTTTAAATTAAAATAAAAACTACTTTCTTTATCGGTTAGATCAGCATCTATTCGGTCTTTGATAAGTTCTCAATTTTTATCGGCTTCACTATCCGCAGCACTTAAATTAAACTCAATTCTTCTCTCTTTAATCCGTTTTCTTAATTCGGATAGCAATTCCTGGTTAGTTATTTCTTCATCTTCAGGCTCATTTTCTCTATCTAATAAGGCTCGATAGCTTCTTTCTATAACTCTTTTATCATTTCCCAATTTTCTTCAATCTTCGACGTGGAGATAATCATTATCATTTTGGCGGGATTTGCTATATTTAAATAAATAAATGTGACCGAGCATTAGAGTATAAGCAAAGCGATTTCTATTTTTGTTAGTAAAGACGAATAACGGATCATCGCTGCTGGGCAAAGTGGTTGTTTGCTTTTCATCTCTTAATTCAAAATACATTTCAGTTAGTCTTCGGCGAATGCTTAATTTTAAG